GTTTATCGGCCAGGCTGGCACAATAAACTTTCTCAACCTATCTAATTGTTATTTCAGTTTTGATTCTGTAAGACAAGCATCCTCAAACTATGGCCTGCGGGCTGCATGTGGCCTGCCGGGTGTTTTTGCCCTGTTTTGTTTTTTTACTTCAAAATAAGATATGTGCAGTGTGCATAGGAATTTATTCATAGTTTTTTTAAAACTATAGTCCGGCCCTCCAACGGGTCTGAGGGATAGTGAACTGGCCCCCTGTTTAAAAAGTTTGAGGACCCCTGCTGTAAGATAACCCAAAATTAAGAAAAGTGAAATGGTGCAGAGTCAAGAGTTGATTCTGTTTAAGGGTAGAATAGAAAGATTTCTTCAGTGTAGAAAGATAATAACTGACAGGAATAAAAATGAACTCTCTAATCCTGGAGCTTGTTATTAGGCTGTTGCCAGCCTTCATTTAGAATTAAGAACCCACTTGGAACTTGATTCAACTTGGAAGATAGAATGAGTGGTCAAACTGCTTAAATTCTTATATATGGTTGTATAGTATTACCTACATCAGACTTCTGTACTTGCTATATACTTATGTATTATACAAAATACTTCTCAAAGTCATGGAAAAGGGCTCTGGCAGAGTAATGCAAACAAATGATTTCAAACCATGCTTTAAAATGTCATGGATTCATCATATTAGCCTACTGAAGAAATAAGTTGTTTGGGAAGACACTTTTAAATGTTTAACTTAACATCTGGGAGGACAGCCGGCTTCTTAAAAGGTATTTCTTGGTACCACTTTGAGGGTTAAAATTATAAGTGGAACAGACTATAGCTCTCACCTAGTGTGGGGATTCTTACATCTTTGGGAACTGAACTACAAATAAATGAATACTCCCAAATGACTTGCAAAGCTTTCATGTAACATGTATCAGAAGCCAGCATTTTAGGAAATAGCCTTTTAAAACTGGACATTGTAGAAGGTAGAGACATTTTCCCATAAAGAGAAAGATGACACTTTCATTTTAACACCTATTTGTTGAATCCCTACCAAATGTCAGACATTGCTGTATGTAGTGTAGATGTGGACGTGTGCTAAGCAAAATACATTTTCCTTCTAGGAATATTTTTTCTTTGCCTCTCTTGTTGTCCTAGCATCAGTTAATTTGGGATGAGCACAAAAAGTCTTTGTGTTAAAGTTTCCTATTTTGAGTATCACTTAAGCATGAATTTTCTCTTTAGTTCTTTAGTGTATCATAATGTTTGAGAAAACTAAGTTGTTCTTCTGTTCCATGTAAAAATTAAATATGTCATTTATTTTACTTAAGATTGTCATGCATGCTTACTTGAATTTGTCATTAATTCCCCTCCCCCCAGGAGTTGATGCTACACACATGGATGGTGATCAAATTGTTGTGGAAGTACAAGAAACTGTTTTTGTTTCAGATGTTGTGGGTTCAGACATAACTGTGCATAACTTTGTTCCTGATGACCCAGACTCAGTTGTAATCCAAGATGTTATTGAGGACGTTGTTATAGAAGATGTTCAATGCCAAGACATCATGGAAGAAGCAGGTGTATCTGAAACTGTCATCATTCCTGAACAAGTGCTGGACTCAGATGTAGCCGAAGAAGTTTCTTTAACACATTGCACAGTCCCAGAAGATGTTTTAGCTTCGGATATTACTTCAGCCTCAATTTCTATGCCAGAACATGTCTTGACAAGTGAATCTATACATGTGCCTGATGTTGGACATGTTGAACATGTGATTCATGATAATATAGTGGAAGCAGAAATCATCACTGATCCACTGACAACCGACGTAGTTTCAGAAGAAGTATTGGTAGCAGACTGTGCCTCTGAAGCAGTCATTGATGCCAATGGGCTCCCTGTAGACCAGCAAGATGATGACAAAAGCAACTGTGAGGACTACCTTATGATTTCCTGTAAGTTTTCGGGTAAAGTGAT